AAATGGCCTCAGGTTGCACCAGGGGAGGTTTAGATTTGATATTGGGAAAAATTTCCTCATGGAAAGGGTGGCCAAGTGCTGGCACAGGCTGCCCAGGGCAGTGGTGGAGTCACCATCCCTGGAATTGTTCAAAAATGTGTGGATGTGCCACCTGGGGACATGGTTTAGTGGTGGAGTTGACAGTGCTGGGGACCGGTCAGACTTAATGACCTTAGAGGTCTTTTCCAACCTAAAGGAATCTGTGACTCCATGATCTGAGCTGGAAGAGAGCAGGGAAATGGGAGCAGGACTGAGAAAGGAGCCTGCAGAGATGCCTTCTCTGAGGGTCAGAGCAGGGACATTTGTCTCCCTTGATTCTTGAAAAGATCACAGGCAGGTGAGAGGCAGGAATATCCTGCTGGATGATGTACTAAGAGAACACTGAGCATCTTTTTGTCTCTTTTTGGTTAGGGATATCTAAAACATTTCCACCGAAACTGGAGAGTAAAGAGGAGGAAAGGTCAACCACAGTGGCCACAGGTGCAGAAAATGGCAGCAGCTGGAATTGTGGCTTTATTCCAGAGTGGTATTTGGTGTCACTCGTGTGTGTGTGATTCTACTGCCCTCTCACAGCTCTGTCTGATGCGTTTCTGTTTGCTTTAAGAGAATACTTGAACTGGGTCTTCTGCCTGTATTTTTTTTTTTTTTTCCTCCTTCCACCCCCGTCCTGACCTGGCCAGACTGTGCCATCCTCATAATCCCGAGCTGGCTGCCTGGCTGTGCTTCTCAGCCGCTGAAACACGGCGCTGAAAACCACCGGATTAGGTCTTAATGGCAGGATCAAGTCAGCCGGAGAGATGAGCGGGGAGAAAGCTCCTGCTTACGCAGGTGGGCAGGAAGCCCTCCTAGAGAAAACAAGCTGGAAAGCCTAAAATGTCAGAAAAAAAACCCCTACTTCTCTCCTGGCCTCCCTTGCTTTTCACTGCATTTAATACAGCTTTCACTTTCCAAGGATCAGAAAGATCTGGGTTTTTGGAGTTTTGTGAGGGTGATGTTGAGGGGTCAGAGGTGTCTAAACATTTCCTCCCTTGCAGAGGAAAAATGTTGCCTTGAGTGGTGGATGTTCTGTCCCACATGTTAATTCCCAACACTAAATTCTGTGAGCCCCCCACTAGAAATCTGGGCTGTGCTGTGTCACAGTGTGCTGGAGGATGTTGGGGTTTTCTCAGGTTGTCTGTACCGCTCCTGTGCTGATGGGGCTTCTGGAACACACAGAGCCTGGGAGGTGTGTTGGGTATTTTCCAGGGTGGCATTGCCTCTGAGCAGTGGGATGCTCCAGAGGGAGGGTCTCGGGAGTTATCCTCTGGGCAGGTGGCACAGCACCCCCCTGTTGACCAGTGCTGTGGCCACTGTGGTCTTCACCTGCACAGGTCACCAAGGGTTCTTGGTCAACAGGGCTCCGAGGTGTTGGAGTTTATCCACCTACATTTACCAAAAACAGCTGTGGCTGCCCCATTCCTGGAAGTTTCCAAGGCCGGGTTGGATGGGGCTTGGAGCAACCTGGGATAGTGGAAGGTGTCCCTGCCCATGGCAGGGAGTGGAATGGGATGAGCTTTAAGGTCCCTTCCAGGCCAGGCCATTCTGTGGTCCTGTGATGCACTTGTGAAGAAAGTGTGATTTTTCTGGGGGTGATGGAGACTTCTCCTCTGAGTTTGCTTGGCAGAGCCTGGGAACTTTCCACCCAGACCTTCCAGGGAGGGGGTGGGTTATGCTGGTGGGACATCTTTGCACCCAGTTGTCCTCTCTGTTCTCAGACAGCTTGAACAAAACATTGCAGTGCCCCCAAAGGAATACCTGTATGAAGCAGATTTTCTCTCACACGTGTCTCATGCACCCAGGGAGCCCCAGCAGTGCATGGGAGGAGGAAGAGGAGGAGGAGGATGAGGACTGGCTTCAGTAAGCATGGAGCCAACCCCTGCTGGAGCTCAGCTGAGCCCCATGCTGTCAGGGCTAGCATTCCTGATAGGATATCAGGGGCATGATTCCAGCGTCCATTTTTTCCAGCTCCTGTGTGGCAACCAGGCTGGAGAACAAAGTCCACCCCAGAGCTCCATTTCCCTCCTCCTACTCTGCTTTGTGTGCCATCTCCTGTCTAGGAGATGATCGTGTTATTGAATTAATTTAACACACAGAATTCAGATTTCCCCTAGTCAGAAGCTTTTGCTCAAATTTTAGGAAAGTGTCAGTATTTGTGAGGTATCAACAAGCATAAATACAAGAGTGCCAGCTTAGGCAATTGCTCCAACCTCTAAAAAATAGGAAAGGAGGAAAATGGTAGTGTGTGTGTTTTCATGTGGGAAAGAGGAGTCTTCCTGCTGTTCTGGGTTTCCATTTTCCTTCCTCTTCCTTGATCACTGGCGCCAGAGCTGCTTTTTCTGACATAGGGAATTCTTAATAGATTAAGGAAATTTCTGAGAATTTAATATATTTAACCCCAAACCGAGGATGCTCCAGATGGTTGGCTCTTAGAACTGATGGCATCTTCTCCAGGCACTCTCACAAGGGCAGGTGCCATTAAAAGGGGCCTACTCATTGTGGAGTGGGATCACCCTTTGGAAGGGCGTTGTTTTAAGGGCAGATCTCCCCTTGCTGAGGTGCAAAGACTTCAGGCTGCTCTCCATGCCTGGAAGGAGGGTGTTCCCTCCAGTCCTCCGCCTGTGGTTGCCCAGGTGTGATGCTTGGCAGGGCCTGGCTTAGCTCACCGTGCAGCTTCCCTTTCGGGGCCGAACTCGACGCTTCTGCTTCCTCATTCCACATCCGTGACCTCTGCGTGGTTGCACCTGCTTCTGGCTGGGTTGGAGCTGGGCCCTGCATCTACTCTCTCCATCAGGCTGGATGTAATGGTGTCCCCAGGGCTGTCAAGTGGCTGGACAAAGGAGCCATTTCAGAGCTGCTGTGAAAGAGGTGGAATATGGCAGCCAAGAGGAAGGGTCCGAGATGGGTCTCTCTCTCTGTCTCTCCAGGCAGGGAGTGCTCTGAAACGCTCGGAGTTTTTCCCCAGCCCTTTGTCCCCGAAGAATGAGGGCTGCGGAGGGAGGGCAGGCTCCCGGAGTAAATGCTCCGGCTCTATTGTTTCCCCGGTTTCGGCTCTATTGATTCTCGTCCTTCGAGCTCCTGGAGCCCCCTGTAAAACACTTACCTTTCACTACGCTATGATTAAGAAAAGGCCAGTGCAGCTTTCCCGCTCGCCGGAGCGTGAAGCGTGCTTAATTTAATAATGCTGATAAATCTTAAAGCCAGGAGCGTTTGGCTAACACATGACCCACTTTTTCAATCAGTTGGAAGCATTTACATAACGGCCTTGATGCAGGGCTCCTCCTGCCAGGGATGTGGAGCCAGGGATGGCAGACACACTACCCTGTGAAGGGACAAGGGGGAAAGGCTTTAAACTGAAAGAGGGTAGGATTGGATTAGATTTTAGGAAGGAATTCTCGGCTCTAAGGGTGGTGAGGTCCTGGCACAGGTTGCCCAGAGAAACTGTGGATTCCTCATCCCTGGAAGTGTTCAGGGCCAGGTTGGATGGGGCTTGGAGCAAGCTGGGCTGGTGGAAGGTGTCCCTGCCCATGGCAGGGAGCTGTTATGAAATAATCTCTAAGGTTCCTTCCAACCCAACCCATTCCATTATTGTATGATTCTATGTCAAGCCAAAAGGTACTGATAAGGGTGGGGAGGAGAATATTTCTGAGGAAGAGATCAGAGAGTTGGGAATGGGCTGTGAAACTATAACACATGGTCAGGGACACCTTCCACTAGCCCAGGTTGCTCCAAGCCCCGTCCAACCTGCCCCTGAACACTTCCAGGGATGAGGAATCCACAACTTCCCTGGGCAACCTCTTCAGTGATCCTGTTACAGTGTCCAACACATTTCATTTCTTATCCTTCTTGTGAGGATTTCATCCCTTTTTTTTTTTCATTTGTAACATCCAGCAGCCTCAAGATCTGTGTTTACACATAGGTCACAAGCAACCTCATTCCCAGGGAGCTGGTGTCCTTTAGCTTTAGGGAATGCCATCTCCCTGCAAACCACGTGGTTTTATCCATTTTAGGTTTCATAATAACCTCTAGAAAGAGGTTTTGCATCAAAACCCGTTTCCCAGCCATGGTTTGTGCATTGCTGTTGTTTATTCATCCTGACTTGCATTAAAGCAATACTTGAGAACTGGTTTATCTCCCTTTTTTTTTTTTTTTTTTGGTCACGTAAGTCCCCTGTCTGAGGAAAGGGAAATGCCAGATGCTTGTAGGCAGGATGAAGAATCTCCCATCTGATACAGACTGAGGGATTAAATACCAGGAGCGAGAATTGCTCCCTGTCTCTCGGTGTTGCACGTAGAAGGATGCTGGCACCTCCCTCTGGGATGGGGCTTCTCTCCCCGTGCACAGGGACATTTCATATGCCACGTCCTCATGCAGAGATACTCCTAAAGAGCCATCAGGAATGAAAAATGAAGGATTTGTTACCGTTCTGTGATTTATTTTTTTTCCCCCCTTTGCCTTCAAAACGTAGGTGGCCCCCCTAGAGGGCAGAGGAGGAAAGAGGGAGAGAATGGGAAAAGAAAGGAACATGGTTTCATTAGGTACATGTAATATAAATGACTGGAAGTGGCGTGGTCCACACAGTGCCCAGCTGGGGAGCTCGCAGGTCAGGATGTGTGGCAGCTGGGATGCTAGTTCCATTCCTCCCCGTTCTGCCCTCCTGGAGTCAGATGGATAATTCCCAGCTACTGAAAAACTGTTCGTGCTGGAAATGGTGAATTTTGCTTTGCTAGCTGGGTGCTGTGTGCCTTTTAAAGTCCCAGTTCAGCCACTGGTGTGTGGCCAGGCTGCTCATCCGACGCCCTGGTCCTTCATCCACAGTTGCCTTTTTGGGACACTGGAGCCTTTGCTCCCGTGCTCTGCCGCTCTGCAGGCTCCATCCCAAGCTGCCTGCTTTAAGAGCAAACCTCTCCCCTCTCTGTGCCCAGGTGATACGGCCGTGGTGCTGTCTCTGTGCCCTCCCAGCTATTGCACCTCTCCCGGCCCCCCGGTAGGAAATGGAGTCCAAGGTCTCCGAAGGCGGCCTGAACGTCACCCTCACCATCCGACTGCTGATGCACGGCAAGGTAAGGGGCTGCCCAGAGAGGGGGTTTCCCCACAGATCCCTCTCCCACCTCGTCCAGCCCCACGGAGCATCCCAGCCCCGGGAATAGCTGCCCTCCTGCCGACGGGGAGGGTGGCGTGGTGCTCCTGGTTCCTCTCATACCTGCCCCCTACCCCTGTTCTTCTGCTGGGGATGGTGTCTGCCAGGTCTATTCTTCATTGTGAGGGTGGGCTGGACTGTCATCTAACTTCTTCTAACATTTTCTAACTCAATTCCTTTGTTTTTGGCCTTTTTTTTTTGGTGTAGGAAGTCGGAAGCATCATTGGGAAGGTAAGGATGTCTTTTAATGCAGCTTTACTGCTGTTGCCTGTGCCTGTGGTGTGGTAGGTGCCAGTCACCTCTTCCCTGTGCTGTGCTGAAAAGTTTGGTTGCTGCATTTGTGAACCAGAAATTCTGAGACACCCACAACAGGCATCAGAGACCACTGCCCTAAAAACCCCACCAACCACCAAACCTCCCCAGCGCTGCTCCCAGCTGCTTCCCCTGGGGTGACGACTGGGAGTCTGCAGTCATGTTGCTCTGATGATGTTTTAATCAAACAGCTTCATTAACAGGTAATACAAATGTCACACAGGCCCATTTAAAATGTAATTTAAATGGAAGCCACAGGACTCCATTTACCCTGGGCAGAAAAGCTTCCCGAGGTGCTCTGCTCTCTGGTGCTTGTCATGGTGGTTTGGAAAGCCCTGGCTATATGGGATTAGGGGTTTTTTTTGGGGGTGGTTTTAAAAGGCAGGTTTACAGGTGCAAAGATTTGCAGCATAAACATATTTTCCCTATATGCTTGTGCCTTATTTTTCCATTAGCCTGTCCAACTCTATAATTAATCCCAGTTGTGAATCTGTATATATATATATATATATTATATATATCTTTGATGCCTTACACACTCATCTCCTCAGCTGACCATCATGTAGGGAAGCAGGGCTGGGCATCACTGAGCTGCCCATGTTTCTGCCTACATGTTGCCGTGTTTCAGGGAGGTGAATGTTTGGAAGGGCTGTTTTGAAGGTGGAAGTCTTGAATTTTCAGTCATCGCCTGTTTTTTTTTTTTGTTCTTATTTCAGAAAGGAGAGACTGTGAAGAAGATGCGTGAGGAGGTGAGTGACCTGCTCTGTGACTGATTTACAGGACAAAGGGAGAGCAGAGTGGCCAGAGCTGTACATTGCCCTGTGCAATACGTGCAGTAATCCCCAGGGTCAGGACAAGCAAGCCGGCTGTCCCCAGAGCTCTTTGGACCGCATTCCTCCCTCCACACTCCAATAAGCTCCTATCACAATTAAAAGGGAATCTTCCAGAGCCAAGAATTTGCTCCTAATGAAACACTGAAATTAAGTCACTCGTAAGATGCTTTGGGTTTGTCTGAAGTCTTCATGTCTGCAGCTCCCGGGAAGTTATCAGGGCAGTGAGCAGCACCCATCTTTTCACAAGCAGTGAACCCCACGAGCTGGTCTTACCTCGATCCTGTGGGTTTCCATTACAGTAAAAGATTGGAAACCCTTTCTGAGGGCTGGAATAAGACAGTACTGGAGTCACCACAGACGAGGGGTGGGAGTTTGGAAGGTTAGATGGGACAGGCTGGGACAGGTGATGACCAGGAATCAGGTTGAGTGAGAGAGGACCCGACCCGGGTGCTTGGCTGTGGCTATTCCAGGACTGCTCCTCTCTTTCCAGAGCGGGGCAAGGATCAACATCTCAGAGGGAAACTGTCCCGAGCGGATTGTGACCATCACCGGCCCCACCGATGCCATCTTCAAGGCTTTCGCCATGATCGCCTACAAATTCGAGGAGGTGAGAAATGGGAGCCATCCCACAGCTGGGTTCTGTGGTGCAGATGGGCCTGGGGACCTCCAACCTGTGTATGCCTGGCTGGACCTGCTTAACTGGGACCTGCTTAACTGGGACCTGGCCTCGGCACAGAACCTTCCAGGCATCTCTAACTAGGCAAGAACTGAGCACAGGTCTGAGGAGCAGCTCAGGGAGCTGGGGAGGGCTCATCCTGCAGAAAAGGAGGCTCAGGGGGGACTTTCTTGCTCTCTACAACTTCCCGACAGGAGGGTGTAATCAGGAAGGGGTCAGTCTCTACTCCCAAGTAACAAGTGATGGGACCAGAGAAAAAGGCCTCAAGTTGCACCAGGCAACCAGGTTTAGGTTGGATATTAGGGAAATTCCTCACTGGAAGGGTGGTCAGGCATTGGAACAGGCTGCCCAGGGCAGTGGTGGAGTCACCATCCCTGCAAGCGTTCAAAAGGTGTGTGGATGTGGCACCTGGGGACATGGATAACTGCTGGGCTTGGCAGTGCTGGGTTAATGGTTGGACTCACTGATCTTGGGAGGGTTTTTCCAGCCTTAACGATCCCATGATTCTGTGATTCAGTGAACTGTCACGGAGGTCCCACAGCTAATTAACTGCGGGGGGGTGCAGTGATGCAGAGGTGCAGTGACCCCTCCCCTCTGGCCCGGGGCACTTGGGTTGGGGTCTGGCCGGGTTCCAAGGGGGCTCACATGCTGCACTCTCCCTCCCCAAGGACATAACCAACTCCATGAGCAACAGCACCGCCACCAGCAAACCCCCGGTGACGCTGAGGCTGGTGGTGCCGGCGAGTCAGTGCGGCTCGCTGATCGGCAAGGGAGGCTCCAAGATCAAGGAGATCAGAGAGGTGAGTCAGACTCCAATGAAGCCATTTCACTACTGCACGTCCTCGGGGCTGACCCACGACCCGGGGGGAGCTGCCTTGGGAAAGGGAATCCTTATGCTGTGGGAGCAGCATCCCGTGGGATGCCGTGCGTGGGGCAGCGCGGTTCTTGGGGGGCGCGTGGCATCGGAGCTGGAGCTGTCTGCGAGGCAAAGGCATTTCCAGCTGTGGGATTTGTTCTTTCTCTCTTTCTGTCTCCAGTCAACAGGTGCCCAGGTCCAAGTGGCGGGGGACATGCTGCCCAACTCCACGGAGCGGGCGGTGACAATCTCGGGGACACCCGACGCAATTATCCAGTGTGTCAAACAGATCTGTGTGGTGATGCTGGAGGTACAGTCTGTAACAAAGGGGGTAAAGTACATAAGGAAAACAAAACAAAAAAAAAATCCCAGCTGGCACCACAACAGCACTGGGAGCTGTGGAGCGTGTCTCTCGTCCCCTTCACCACGCGTTGTTGGACCACTCTCATTTCCTGGTACCTCCGTTGGAAACCCACCCAAGTGTTTTTTCCCCACCATTGTCCGTTGTTCCTGGAGTCTCACACACTGGAAGCCTGCCTGGTCGGGTGCCCTGAAGGAGATGGTTTGTGTTGGAGCAGAGGGTGGCTGGAGGAGAGAGGGGTGCCAGGCGGGCTGGGACAGCCTAGCCTGGTGTGCCAGCAGCATCCAGGGTGCCGTGGGAAGGAGAAGGGGGATGCAGCCCCTCCTCCAAGCACCTGGTCTCCTCTGCACGGGGGTCTCAGTGCTCCACAAGGACAACAATCAGGAGAAGGAGGAGGAGGCCAGTGCATCCCTTGTGCTGGGGGAGCTGGGAACACAAAGCTGAGCTCCAGTGAGGCACATGGGAATGGTAGTGAGGAAGGGTGGTGCAGAGCAGGGACTGTAGGGCACAGGGATGTACGTCCAAGGTGCCATTTTCAGGGATAGGTGCTGACAAGCAGAGCTTGAAGATTTCTGTCCTGGAGGGATGCTGCTATACCAGTGGCTTATTGCTGGAGATTACCACAGCCAGAGGTCCCACATCCACACCTGCCACCTCAGATGGGAGAAGCTCCAGGAGGAAAGCCCTCTGGACACAGGATGTTTGCACCCTCTGCTCCCGGTGCCTCCCAGAGACAGACAAAGCAGGGACCAGCGTCAGGCCCCTTTGCCTGGCTGCACAGCCCGTAGGGAGGAACACGTTTCCCGCTGGAAAAGCTTCAGATGGGGATGGCAAGGCTCGGTGGGGGGCAAAGCAAAGCCAAATTAAAGCACCTTCAGCTTGGCAGCAGCACAGCCCAGGGAGAACAGCCGGGAGACACGTTACCCATCACGGCTGGCTCAGGCTGCCACACTGCTGCTGGAGGAAGTTTAGGCACGTGATGACTCTGGGTCATGGACTGCAGCAGAGATGAGCCTGAGGTGATGCTTGCAGGTGTGTTATGAAGTGTTTCTTGGCTGCTCTTCTCACAGAGCAAGAGGGGCTGCTCCTCTGTAAGGCTCAGCAATTAGAAAGATCAAAACCCACGGAGTCTTCTTGCAGTCTGAAATCTGGGAAGTTTCCTGACTTTAACAGTTCAGAGAGATGCTCCTTATCACCTTTCAGTCTTACACAGATAATCCTGGCTCATCCTCTCCAAGATTTGTAATGCAACAGAAGAACAAGGAGGCTTGGGATGATAGAGATGTGCCTTGATCATACAGCTTTCCCACAGACAGGTGCTTAGCAGGAGGATTTAGATATGCTGCTTGCCTTCAAGTAGATGTCTAGAAGAATGTACAGGAGAAAAAAAGCAGAATTTTCCATGAGATTGCGTAATTTATGTTGCTTGTCCTTATATAGCAGTCAGCGGGTCATTTCGTTTTGGGTAGAGGCAGGGGAGCTGTAATCTCTCCTGATTCCTAAAAGCCTCCCTCTTTTCTGTGGGCTGTTGGTTATGTTCAGGTGAAAACCAGCACAGAGAACTTGGGAGAGCAGCTCCTGTGCACCGCGCCGTGGGATGACTCCCTGCAGCTCTGCTCCCAGCTACCCGGGCAGGGACCGGACAGGCCACAGCCGCCAGGAGCAAGATCATGGAATCATGGAATCATGGAATGGTTTGGGTTGGAAGGGACCTTAAAGACTGTCCACAGCAGTGATGCCTCCCATGTGACCACAATGATGGTGCCTCGCAGCACCCGCTGCACGGCTCAGAGAACAGTGGACCAGACCAAGCCCTGAAGGTGACCCTGACCCTCTGATGAGGAAGAGGAGGGCGGTCAAACACCTTGAGTGGTGTGCCAAGCCACTCAGATGGACTTTACTTCCCCCTTTTGCTGCTTGGGGTGTTTTGAGGAGGGCTCCAGGAGTCTAGGCCAGGTGATGAGCAAAAGCAGAGCGAAGGTGAGGGAGGCAGCAGAGGTCCAGGAGGCGACTCAGGGGCCCGTGCCGTGGCAGGGGATCTCCCGTACCCCAGGTTGTCCTCGTTTGTCCATGAAACGCTGCCTTCCCCCGTGTCCTCCTGTCCAGAAACGCGGTGTTACTGGTGCGGGTGTTGCTGCCGGCGGCCCCGGGGGCCGCGCTCCGTTAAGGTGCTTTCTAACGCTCTTTTTGCCGCCGTTTCAGGAAAGCTGTTCTAATGTTCTCTCTCCCTCTCCTTATCCCTTTTCCTAGTCCCCACCAAAAGGTGCCACCATTCCCTACCGCCCAAAGCCCGCCTCCACCCCTGTCATTTTTGCAGGTGGTCAGGTAAGAGCCGACCCGCTTGCAGCCTCCACTGCCAACCTCAGCCTTTTACTGCAGCACCAGCCGCTGCCCGTTAGTGCACTCAGGTTTCTTGCCTTCTGACTTGCATGGTGTCATCCCATCTGTTGTGTGCCACGGCAGCTGGACTGAAAGCTCCTGGTAGAGCCCATGGCTTACCTCCTCCAGTGGGTGCTGGAGGCTGAGAGGAAGGAAGGGGCCAGCCCGGAGAGGCAGGGTGTTAGCTCTGCTGAGTGCTCACGCACAAAGAAAAGCCTGGAATTTGCTTCGCCAGGCCCAAATTCGGGATTTGTCGGTGGTTAGGAAGGAGAAAATTAGAAAAGCGTCACTGAACAAGAGGCCGTGACTGCTTTCTGGCGTCTCCCGCCCAATTAAAAATATCTTTGCGGAGCTGTAATTGATCCAAGATAGGAAGGGTTTATCCCAGCTCCTGAAGGGCTGTGCTGAAACCTCTGCTCAGGGCAGCCTCTGTGGAAGAGTCATGTCCCCATTCCTCAGGATGCTCAGGGTTGGGGTGCTGCTTCTCCCCAGCAGGAGAGCCTGCGTTGCAGTGCCCTCGGTGACATTGCAGCCTCACAGACACAACGTGCTATTTCTGGCCACCCTCGGGGACATTTTGCCTCTCCAGGATAACCGTGGAGGTTACTCTGCAAACAAAAACCAGCAGAAACAGGAGCAGTTTTAAGCAGACAGCTGTTTCTAAGCAGGCAACTTGCACCATCGCTTTTTCCACCTCACCTCACCCAGGTGACTGAGGACCTGCCTGTAGATGCCACCATGACGTGGTGCATCAGATCTAGCAGTAGATGTCCCTTCCCAAGAGCTCCTGCAGCCAGGTAGGGCCAGCACCATGAAACCGCAGCTGATGCCACCCAGAGCAGCTCCAAACGGGTTATTTCATCTCTCCCCAACCATAATAAATAGGAGGACAGACTAAGGATGGGAGCAAAGCCCAGAGCACAGGCTATTTCAGGCTGGATTAGTCACTGCCAGGATCAGGAGGAGCGTGTCACTCGGTCTGAGCAGCCATCCTGGAAAAGAGCTTTGAGTCCAGCTGCTTGGTGAACTATCTTCTCAAAAGGGAGAGTAAGATGGAGGTAGCATTTCTCCTGCTGGTGATTGGTTGGTGTCTTGGACAGAAGGGATGTCACGGGAAGAAGCAACCATCTCTGAAATGAGAGCTTTTCCCAAGGCTGGGGGCCCTTTGGCTCTGCCCGAGGGGTGGCATGGGATGGGTGGGCAGGGGACAGCCAGTGACAGTGGTGACAGGTGTTTTGGGGTGGGATAAGCCTTCAGGAGCTCAGCAGGCTGAGGGATGCAGCAGCCGATGGCAGCTGCCAAAGGGACCAGCCCCATCGTCCATGGGCAACGTCAGAGTTGGGTTGCATCTGTCCAAGACATCTTCCTGCCCTTAATTGCCTTTTTGCACTCAATTTTTCTAGGCAAGAAACAGTGACCAAATTGCACCACCAGGACAGGCAGCTCTTCAGTGAAGCCTCTGCCATATCCCCATCATGCCAAGATGTCAGTGGGCCCTGGGACGGCCATTTCTGTGTTCCTCCTTCGTGATTTTGGGGGTTTCCCTCACACAAAGCACTTTGCTATTTGCAAACAATGTGGCAAATTTGCGGGACGTTCCAAGGGTCTTTTTTTTTTTTCTTGGCAGTCTTTACTCTCCCTTTTCAAAGTGTTGTCCATCTCTTTTGTCATTTCTTTCAGAATCATCTGAATAATGTGTCAACCAGTGGGATATGTTTTGCTAGCTGGTTAAGTCCTAAATATTGGGCTCTCTAGTGTCTGGCTCTTCACCCACATCCGTGCTTATTTTTGGGTTATTTCCAAAAAAAAAAAAAAAGTGGAGAAAGGATTGTTACAAAGGATGGAAAAAACACACAAAGCCATTTGCCTGGCAGATATCTGCATGGATTTATCAGTTAAAGCTGGTGAAAGGCATTGCAGTGCAGGCAGCCTGGCCCTGAGCCCTCACCTTAATGCCTTTCCAATGCCCCAGCAGAGCACTGGAATATACTGGGTGGATGCTGGGCATCCACTGGGAGTCATGCACCTGAAAATATGGATGGGCCCACATCACTGGCTTGCTTTCTGGGATCACACTGAGGTGTGAGGGGCAGCGGTGATGTCACTGTGCACTTTCTACACGGTTAATTCTGCTCATCATTGAATCACAGAATGGTTTGGGTTGGAAGGGACATTAAAGGTCGTCCGGTTCCAACCCCCCTGCCACCGATCCTTATTTTTTTGTGCAGCAAAGCCCAGTCACGAGCTGAGATTCCTGCTCCATGCAATGCTGGCACCTTTAAAGAGCTGTTTATTTTCCCTTTGACAAAGCCAAAGCGAGCCCAAGCCCTTTGTGGTCAGGTAGCTCAGGATTGCGCCAGGTGGGATCGGGGGTGTGTACATCTCCCTCCTGCCCCAGGGATTTGCTGCCCTGGGGAATGTAATGGGGCAGAGGGGGTCCCAGCAGAGGGATGGAGTTCTCTCACCTTGTCCTACCAGCCTTAGTAACATCATTTTTTTTTTTTTTCCTTTGCAGGCCTATACAATTCAGGGACAATACGCTATTCCACACCCGGATGTGAGTTTTACCCTAATTTTTCTTATACCCTTTTCTGCCACCTGCATGCTACTGTTAATTCACATAATATTAATATTAGCCAATAATATTAATAACGTATTTTCAGAGTAACTGGCCGTTTGTAGTATCTGTAATACCTCGAGTAGCCTTTTAACCTGTTAGCACTAAACTTTGTTACTTCCGAGGACTTGGCCTGATGCTAAATTGTTTCCATTGTTCAGTGCTATCCCTTCACTCCCAGAAAAACCACATTCTATGCATTTTGTGCCTCAAAATGATCAAAACAAGCAAAAAAAAAAAAAAAAAAAAGAGGAAAAAATGATACTTTCCCCTCTCTTTTCCCCCTCATCCTTAAAATGTTGGTAAGCCAAGGGTGTATTTAGTTGCTGAGTGCCTTGGTGGAGTGGGGAGCAGCCAGAGCTCCAGGGCAGGGCAGGGGGACATGCCTTTCAGGGAGGGGAAGGGCAGGGGGGGCCTCCCAGAAATTGGGAGCCTCTGCATCTTCTCCCAGAGGGATGGAGAGGGTGCTGCATCTCACCTTGCCGAGGGCTCAGTGCCTCCCCACAGGAGCGGGACCCCAGACTGATGTGGTCACCCTGGCTTTTTTTGATGGCTGTCTCAGTGGGTTTGGGTGGCTGTCACCCAGGGCAGGGACATTCTGGGGACAGTCCCCACTCCATCTCAGGCTCCTTGGTGCAGGGACAGGCACCACTCTGACCTGGGGTTTGCTGACACTCAGATCCCCTGTGGCAGGACATTTTGTGGGGGGACGTGTAGGGCTCGTCAACTGCAATGTCTGCGCCTAAAATTACCAACAGAATCAGAAAATGAATCTGTTCAAAGGATTTCTGCATGGAAAGCAGAGAAGCACCGTGATGCCAGCGGCTCCTTGCCGGCATCAGGCAGCTGCTTGGCTTCTGGGGTGGTCACAGCTCTTGGAAAACGCTGGGACTTTCTAATTGTGTTTCCCGAGGAGGTAAAATGAGTTCCACTGCGGGGGGGGTCCCTCTTGCTGCGAGTCAGGGATCTGCAGCGGGGCTGAGGATGTGGTGATGGGTGGAAAGCCTTCTCCAGCCGTCCCAGCCCTGGGAAGGGTATGATGGAGCTCAGTGTTCCTCCTTCCAGTGGGTGCATTGGGTATTGAATCACGGAATTGCTTTTTCCATAATCGAGGAGGTGGCCAGGCTGGTTGATAACCACAAATGCCCTCTCCACATGGGAAACCTCTAGGAGATGTAGGCTGGGTTTTTGTCTTAGGAGAAGTGATTTCACTGGAATTAGTGGAATCCAGGCTTTGGCTTTCCATGTGACACCAGTATGTGTGTGCTCTGAATAGCCTGCTGTGATGGTTGACAAGAAATATTCTTAGTTGTGTACTGTTTGCTTTTGCTCCAGAAGCGGAATATAAATAAATAACCTGTGTATTTAGGGTAGGTCAATATAGTCTTTATCCCAGTTTTTCTTTGCAAGTGGTGCTGACAACTTAGTCTTTTCCTTCTTAGTATATTCCTCTGATTGTCAGGATTAAAATACATTTTATATGTTTGCTGGCTGAGCTCTGCCCCACTCCTGGCAGATTTGCTGAGACCTGGGGAGAATCGTTGGTACAGGGCCCAAGCACTCCATCCTTACTCTCGTGGTGCTCTCGCAGTGATTGGTCATTTTAAACAATGTTCAGTGCAGGATCCAGTCTTGAATGGGATTTTAGGGTATTTTAAACACGTTCCAGGTGGCTGTGTTTAGTGGGCGCCTTTGGCAAAGCGGGCAGGGTTTTGAATTCCAAATGCGTGCTCCTGCCCTGATTTTCTCCCCTGGAAAAAAAAAAAACAAGGACAGGGGCAGTTTTGGCTCATGAAGAGTTTCAACATTGCCTGAGTACTTGTAGGCAGTTTGGGATGTGATGTGTAGCTGCCTGCCTTCCCAAGAGTTGTGGGATCCTAGAGTCACAGAACGGTTTGGGTTGGAAGGGCCCTTAAAACTCATCCCATTCCAACCTCTGCCATGGGCAGGGACACCTTCCACCAGCCCAGGTTGCTCCAAACCCTGTCCAAGCTGGCCCTGAACACTTCCAGGGATCCAGGGGCAGCCACAGCTTCTCTGGGCAACCTGTGCCAGGGCCTGCCCACCCTCACAGGGAGGAATTCCTTCCAAAATAATATCCTGTCTAACCCTGCCCTCTGTCAGTGGGAAGCCATTCCGCCTTGTGCCCTGTCACTCCAGACCCTTGTCCCAAGTCCCTCTCCAGCTCTCCTGGAGCCCCTTTAGGCACTGGAAGGGGCTCCAAGGTCTCTGTGGAGCCTTTTCTTCTCCAGGCTGAACACCCCCAGCTCTCCCCACCTGTGTCCAGAGCAGAGGGGCTCCAGCCCCCGGAGCATCTCCGTGGCCTCCTCTGGACTCGTTCCAACAGATCCATGTCCTTGCTGTGCTGGGGACCCCAGAGCTGGATGCAGTACCCCAGGTACAGTCTCACCAGAGTAGAGGAGAAGAATTCCCTCCCTTGAGCATGGAAGATGAGCTGGAAGAGGCGGACATAGCAGCTTCCACTGTGACACCTGGGTGCAGCCACGTTCTCCTCTCACAGGCTTATTTATCGTTCTAATTATGGGAGCTGGCTAAATACCACTATCCAAACTATGTCTGAAAAAGTCTACTAGATAGGTATTAGAAAGGATTTTGGTGTTTCCCCAGACATAAGCCAAGTAAAGCCAAAAGAAGCATGGGGAGGGAGGTGCAGCCACCTCTTTTTCGTGGAGACCTCTCACCAGAGCCGGTGGAGGCTGGAAGTCTTCAATGCCTCTGCAGGGAGAACAGGGATCCCATGGGTACCTCTCTGGGGACTTGCAGGTGTTTCACCAGTTCCTGCTGCCTCCCTCCAGCCTCCCCCCAGTGTGTGCAGCCTCCCAGCTCAGCTCCTCCCAGCATTTTCCCCTCACTGCTACCAAGCCAGACCTCCCCACACTCCCTCCCCAGCCATGCTGCAGGAGCAAGGAGGAGTTTGAACCTTGTTGGCCCTCAAAACCTTGAAATTGTAACTCCTGCCTCTCCATTGCCAGGGATAATGGGCACAACAAGCGGTTTGAGTCTGGGGGGTGATGCGATGCTGGCAACCCCCCCGAGCACCTGTGAAAAGTGGGAGGTGATAAAGAGCCTCCCTCCTGCTCCCTGCCAGACTTGAGCCCAGTTTGCTTTGTTTGTTTGTTTTATTCCTTTTATTTTTTTTATTGGTTTCTTGTTTGGTTTTGTTTTTGTTTTTGTTTTTTTGATTTGGAGCAGTGAAACCGAGCACAAAATGTATTCCAAACAAAACACCTCTCTATGCAACCGCTTCCCGACCGGGCACCAAAACCTACCCAGCACAGCAAGGGATACAAGGATCTGAAATACCTACTGGTCATGGCTGAAGCCCATAAATTCCCCCTATTCCTGATGAGCTGACGTTTAGAAATGCAGTTTATCCATCTCCCAGAGGCACCTCCCATCGGAGGCACGGCACGAGAATGTGTGCTGTGGGGACAAGTGGTGACAATCTGGTCCCCCAGAGAGGGTCTCTGGGTGCTGGTTGTGATGCCCACCCTGTGCCAAGGCAGAGGAGATGAAACTAAGAATGGGCTTCTTTCTGGTATCGTACTTCAGACCCTGACCAAGCACTTCTGCCCAAGATTTGGACTTTATTGCACTATACCCAGGCCAAGTCCTTCTGCTAATGTTTTTGCCATGTCTCACCATGGCTCCCTCCTTTGGTTTTGGTTTTTTTTCTTTTTTTTTTTCCCCATTAATTTTTGGTTTGTTTTCCTTTTTTTTTTTTTTTTTCCTCCCCTTCCGAAATAATTTTGTTCTTGCTTTTCGGTGTGACTTGTTGTAACTCTATGACAATAACCTTCTTAGCTCTAATGTCCCTCCTACCCCTCAGCAGTTGACCAAGCTCCACCAGTTGGCTATGCAGCAAACCCCCTTTACTCCCCTTGGACAGACCACCCCCGCTTTCCCTGGTACGTACCCACACGCCCTTTCAAGATATCCTTCTCTTACCTGTAGAGTTTCTCTCTCTCTCTCTTTCTAAACTCATGCTGTTTAATGGAAACGAGCAGGGCAGGTAAAAAAGTTGCAATGTCCACGGGGAAAGGCTAACTAGAGGTGGATGTTTTGGGGGTCCTCGAGGGCGAGCCCTCAGCCCTTTGCCTGGCCTTGTCCTCAAGGCTGGCACGTTCACGGTGACCTGGGAAGCAGGTAGAGCACAGGGGATGGAGATGATGCGTAGAGGTCTGGTTGGAAATGCCTTTTCTGACAGTATGTTCATCATATTTTGAGCTTCCTAGATGAAGTGACATTGCTTATCTCCTTGAAGGCAAAAGCATTAAACCTGTTTCTTCTTTGCTCTTCAGGAGAAAAGCTGCCCTTACATTCCTCCGAAGAAGCTCAAAATCTGATGGGCCAGTCATCAGGTAAAACACAAAGCTAGAGGGAAATAAGCAGGCTTCGGTTGAAAAATATAAATATATATTCCGTTATAGGACCGTGCCACTGTTGAGAGAAATTGTGGTGTTTGTGGAGCAGACAGCAGGTTTTCTTGGTGGGCAGGGAGAGGCCAGGCAGCACCGTTCTCCTTTGTGGAACATGTGGCAAATGTGGAACAGCATGTGGAAAGAAAAGTGCCTGCACTTTATTGCCTGGTTTTGTGATGTTTGTGTATAACTGCCATAGAATCACAGAACATCCTGAGCTGGAGGGACCTACAAGGATCATCGAGTCCAGCTCCTGGCCCTGCGCAGGACAGCCCCAAGAATCCCACCATGTGCCTGAAAGTGTTGTCTAAACACTTCTTGAGCTCTGTCAGGTTTGGGGCCGTGACCACTGCCCTTGGGGAGCCTGTTCCAGTGCCTGACCACTGTCTGGGGGAAGAACCCTTTCCCAATGTCCAGCCTAAACCTCCTCTGACACAGCTCCAGCCGCTCCCTCAGGTCCTGTCACTGGTCATCGGAGAGCAGAGGTCGGTGCTGCCCCTCCGCTGCCCCCCATCCGCGATGAGTTCTCCCTCAATGCCATCCGAGTAACAGGAAGATGCCAGAGCCATCACCTTTATCCCTTCATTTAATTTTGCCTAAACTTTGCTCAGAAACAGCAGGAAAGTGCCGGTGGGAACAGCAATGACACGCAGCTTTAGCCATCTCCAAGCCGTTCAGGGTGAGTTGCAATTTTAGTGGGACAGGACCCTGAGGAGCCAGAGCGTGGCTGCAGCCTTGGAGAAATTTTGGTGGCAGAATGGATTTGTCTTTTGTCCCCTGCCATTGCTTAGAGGAGCTATCCTGCAGACCTGGAGACTCACAGGCAACGTGAACCAGACCTCCCTGGGCATACCTGGGCCACGCAGCCATCCCAGGCGTGCCTCAGAATTTTGGGGACGTCACCTAGCTACGAAAGCAAACGCAGCCCAAGTAGATAGACCCCCCCCACAAGACTGTACAAGTAGAGATTTCCTGATGCTGACCTGCACAGCCATGTTTTCTGCATGTCCTCTTTGCCCTCTGCAGTCACCCAAGGCCACTAATCCTGCCCTGGCACCTTCGTTGCAGCCTCAGGGACTGCTTGTGCCTGTCAGAGAGGGAGGATCTGGAGTGCTAAAATAAACCAGTCTCCAGGTAATGGGGAGGCCACTCCTTGATGGCTGTGTGATGCAGGGATGCTGCAGCACCGTGGCACCTTGTGTCCCAGGGCCTTTCAGCAGCAGCCTTGGCACCTGAGGGCGGGATGGGGCAATGCCACCCGTGAGTCTGAGGAGCTTAGCTCGTATTCCCAAAGACCCCCTCAGTGCTGCTCTGAGCCCAACCCCAGTGCTCTGCTCCCTTCAGAAGAAGCTCAGTGTGCAAGATAGTCCACGGCTGGTGAAATGTGTGCTGCAAAGTCAGCGTTGAGCATTGCCTGTGGTGTAATACCTGGGCAGGATCTGTTTTGTGCAGGGTTTGGCATTTAGCATCCCTGGCAGGGGTGGAGGACAGCAGAGGGCTGCCTAGTGGAGGATTTGCATCCCCAGTCCTACCATTCCTTCTCCTCTCCGTCCTCCCAAGTGAAAAACATGGTGAGGAGACCTCCTGCAAGGGAGGTGTGTCTGGGAAGCTGCATTCAGGAAAGCACAGGACTCAGAGACTCGTAGAATCACGGAATCATTTGGGTTGGAAGCAGCCTTAAAGCCCATCTTATTCCAAACCCTGCCAACCCCCACTAGACCAGGTTGCTCCAAGCCCAATCCAGCCTGGCCTTGAACACTTCCAGGGATCCAGGGGCAGCCACAGCTTCTGTGGACAACCTGTGCCAGGGCCTCACCACCCTCACTTCTTAACAGCCTAACATCATGCACGAGCACATCAAAGATACCTGGAGCTCCTCTTCCTCAGTGCTGATGCCCTCGATGGAAACATGTGAGGAGTTTGTTGCTGCTGCTGTCTTCTGTTGCAGCAGCCCTGCATTTCCAGCCTCCTTATTTTCTTCATTCTGCACCTACTTACTCCCCTCTCCACACATACAGACCTGGCAGTCTCTTGTGCTCTTAAAAGCCTTTATCAGTGGTTTATATCATAAGGATAAGGATGGGGTTTTTTTCAGTTACTGAGAATTCCTGTCAGCCACCAGACAGCTGCTTTCTTGCAGATTTGGCATAGGACATCCCTGCTTTGGCACTGAGGTGATTTAATATGGAAAATCATGGGAGAGGCAGGCTTTGACCTGGCATGGTGTCCTCTTACCTCTGGAGCTGCACACACAGGGTATGCTGCTGGCTCCAGCCATTCCTACCACGGAGGAGAGAGCTCTCCCTGATCCAGGAGAGGCTGGGAGGAAGCATGCCACTGCCTTTGCTCTTCGACGTGTAATTTTGTAGGGAAGCAGGATCTGAATCTCCACACCGTTTATCTTGCTCTCCCTTGGGACTAAGAGGGACAGCTGGTCCTGGGTCCAGCTAGGTTGCATGTCTTAGCAGTCTGGCTTAAATTTAGGGTGAGTCTGTGGGGCTTTAACTTGCAAAGGACTTGTGCCGGTGCTGCCGGATCCCCAGGGGAAACCGGTTTTGGGGCACCAAGCTGCTGTCATACCCGAGCAGCTCAATGCTGCTGCATCCAGAGAGGGCTGGAGGGTGCACAGGCAGCATTCCTGCGGGGCTGGTGGGGGTTCTAGCTGGCATGCTCTCTGCTGCTGCGTGGAAAGGTGTTTTTCCCACCTCTCTCTGGCGATGCTGGAACCTCGCACCCTCCTCCGAAGCCGCTCCCAGTGGGAGGAGGAAGGGTGGGAAGGAAGCGAGGCACTCATGGGGCAGCTCAGGGGATGCAGGGAAGGTGACACGCAGCTCCAGCAGAGTCAGGTAGCAACCATCTTCCCCCTCCTTGTCCCAGAGTGTGTGATCCCCATCCCCCTCTCCCACCCCGGAGCAGGACGCAGCCTTTGCAGTGTTGACTGTTGCGGGAAAGCAGCGGAGCTCCACCGTGCTGCCTCTGCAAGCTCTAATAACCCTGTCTCCTTGCATATGCCCAGGTTTGGATGCCAGTCCCCCGGCCAGTACTCATGAACTCACCATTCCCAATGATGTAAGTAGATCCAAGTGCTTCCTTGGCATGTCCGTGTGTGCGTGTGTGTATACACGTATGTGTTTGTATATATGTAAGTGTAAGCTGCAGCCAGATGGCTTTGTTAAATATATTTAGAGATGCCCCTTCACCATGTTCCCTCATCCATGTGCAGTCCGTTGGGGATCAAGCTGCAGCATGAAGTGCCCATTGGACTTTACCCCGTCGGTAGCTTCCCTAGGTACAATCCTTAATGCTCTATTTCCCTTTCCAAGTGAACTCAGTGCTCATGAAACATGCCCAGTTGACAGCACTGGGAAAGGGAGAGAGCTCCCATGCCAGCCCTGATTAAACTCTTAATTGCTTAATCGGGCACTGGCACGTCTGAGACGACGTTTCAGCTCAAGGGTAGTGGAGCGGGCTGGGGGTGGTGGGGAAGAGGAGGTAAGTAAATAACATTTCTCGTGCCACAAAGTGCCACACGAGCGTGTGAAGGACGGTGCGTCTCGTCTTTAGTGCTGGTGGCAGGCAGCTTTGGGGTCTCTCAGATGGAGGCGTTGTGGTAACGTGGGTGTTGGACTGGGATGTTTGCTGGGACGAGGCCGGAGTCATGCTGGGCAGGGTGCTTGGGGATGCTCCGGAGGTGGGATGGACAGCACAGCACAGCCAGCACCTGGACTCACACGTCTCACTTGCTTCTGGACTGCCCCAACATTTTCTGCGGATTTAAGAACCGATCTGCGCTCAGATCAGGAGGAGGGCAAGCAGCGGGAGGACAGCCAGCCTCTGTCCCCAACTCCATCACCAGCAAGCACCTTCAGCCCATCTTTTATCAGGAGTTTCTGGATGGGGTGTGGCAGCTGTTGCTGCCTCTTCCCGCTGTTCAGCGACGCCCAGCAGCGCGAGGGAAGGGCAGCGAGCCCGGCTGCAGCTGCCAGGAACCTCTGCCAAGACCCCCTTCTGCCCGAGAGGCCTGGCAGTGCCACAGCCTCTGAGCATCTGCCGGCTGAAACCCCCCGGAGATGCTTCACCCCAGGACCAACCACCATGGAAGGGGTGGGAATCTGCCGTGGAAGGGATCTGCAGAGGAGGGGATCTGCCGTGGAAGGGATCTGCAGGATCTGCAGAGTCTGTGGGAGATTGATCCCCAATCATCTGCCTCTGTCCACCCAGCAAGGACCTCTCTCCGGGATACTTCAGGGAGCTCCGCAAGCGCTCCCGAGGTTCCAGTAGCTGTGTCCCCCTGGAGCCTGGAGGACCACAGCAATCTTCAGAAGTACCAAGATACCCCTTGCAAAAGGAGGAGGAGGAGGAAAGGATGCGGGGGACCTCCCAGAACGCAGGAGCACTCACAGCGTTCACTCACCGGGGACCCAGCTCTCACCAGACCTGGACACAGCATTAAATGTCATCACCTGCATCTTGAAAAATTCCTCCCTGCCTCTTCCTCCTGTTGTTCTGAAGGCTTTTAAACGCTCACTGCCACCTTCTCGGGAAGCAGAGGACAGGTTTGATTTTCTTTAAGGGTCTCCTGCCATGTTTTAGTGGTATAGCTTGGAGTTGTGCTGCAGGTGAAGGGAGTCTGATTGTGAACATCTTGCCCCTTCTCCGACTGTCAGGAGAAACTTCAGTGCTGTTCAACTTGGGTGTTGCTGCACATCTGCCTGAATGGTTTGATTCCTCGGGTCTCCCTGTCAGATTTTAATTTGCTGAAACATCCCTGACCAACCCACCACAGCCCCCGAAACACTTGATACCCTCCCAGTGTATATTCAAGTCCATATGGGACAAACCACCACGTGGGAGCCCCATGGCCTGACCAAAGGATCAGTGAACATTTGGAGGAGTAGTCGTCTCCACTTCTACCGTGGCAGAAATCCAGCAGCTGCCAAGATGAACATCCCACATATAAAATGCCCGGGCGCAACCTCGGAGGAGAGCTCAGATGTCCAAAAGGGGATGCAGAAACACCTCATGCGTGTGTTGGTCAATCTGGATATCTTGGTATGTGCCACTAAACTTCAGAGATCAGGTCTGAGGGAACCATCATTTGATGCACAAATGAGCAAAAACAAAGATCACTGAGGAAATTCAAACCATCGAGGACCATTGAGGAAATTCAAGGGATGGACGTTTGTGCATATCCAAACCCCCAGCTGGCTCTGATTTTTTCCCAAGAGTGTGAAAGGTGTGTTTTTAAGTAGGAGTCACCTCTTCTGCGGGTCTCCTGTGCACACCAGTGAGCTGTTGGATTGCACTGAAAGAGACAGATGGGGTAACAAAGGCAGAGAGGGCATCCCAGTGGGATAGGAGGAAAGTGGGATGGGGTGACTGCAGCAGCTGACAAGGGGGCTCCTGGGGTTGGGCTGTCCCCGTCAAAGGCAGAGGGCTTGTTTCCTTCTAGTAACATGTCCAAACCACTTTTGGGTTTGCTGTAACTGGCAAAAGGATAAGTAACTTGCAAAACATCGGCCATTTAATAGACCACAAAAATTATTATTACTGAAGCAAGCCCTCCTTGAAGCCCTCTGAGATGCTGGGCGTGGTGTGGGGATAATGCAGGGGGTTTTTTTACCCCTCTTACCCTAAGGAGCAGAGCAGGACAGGCTGCTGGATGAGTCCTGGGAGGACCATGCTCGTGTGCAGGTGGGATTCACCCCCTGGGCTGTCCCCCTCCTGTTTTCATGAGCACTAAGGTCACCCGCGCCCCAGGGCCACGCAGCTGCGCTCGCGTCGCACCCGGCGACAGCCAGAGCTGCCGCCTCTCAGACCTTCCCTCCGTGCTTTCTTTCCCAGCTAATAGGCTGCATAATCGGACGCCAAGGGACCAAAATCAATGAAATTCGGCAGATGTCGGGAGCGCAGATCAAAATCGCCAACGCCACGGAAGGGTCATCGGAGCGCCAAATCACCATCACAGGAACCCCAGCAAACATCAGCCTTGCGCAGTACCTCATCAACGCCAGGTGAGAGACCCCCCGCAGACCTCCGGCGCCTCCTGCCACGGCCGACCCCCGTCCTGCTGGCCTGGTGGGAGCAGCCCTCGCTCCCGGCACCGCTCCCGGGCCAGGAGGGGCTCCCTGAGGCGGCTGGGACGGAGGGTGTTCTTGCTGAGACCTCTGAGCGGGGACCAGACGTCGCCAGCGGGACATCTCCCCCCGGCTGGCACTTTGGCTGGGGACCGGGAGCCGCTTCACCGCCGGCGGGTCGCACCTGCCCACCCACCACCCTCGCTCAAGGATTTTGCTCATGGGTAGGGCAAAATCGCCGCCGTCTTTTCTCTGTGGATGAGGCAGGGGACGGGGACAGGGATGGAGCTGAGCCGATGGCAGGGAGGCGTCGCCTGGGACCTGCTTGCTGGGATCCCAGCATCGCTCGCTGCCTCTTCCAACCGCGCTTCCAGACCTCCCAGAGGCTTTCCTCCCTTCAGTGAAAGTAATCAGCCCCATAAACGCAAGACGTGGGAGCGGCCTGATTGCTTCCTTTTCACCACGGAAAGCTTGGCGCAGCAGGACTTCGCAGCGGCCGAGGGTTCCCAAAACTGCCGCAGGCCCGGGGGGAGATGCAGCCCGTGCCAAGGGGGACCAGGGGTCCAGCAAGGCACTGCCAGGGGAGCGTGCAGGGGAGGCGTAGCTGGAGAGACGAGCTGGGGTCTAGCTCCTTGCTGGCAGCGAGCTGTGCCCGGGGCGCTCGCTCAGACCCGTTTGCCTGTGTCTGTGGACTCACGGATAGCGAGTCTGAGGGGATATGGGACCTTCCGCTGGCTTTGCACCCGTGCGTGCCCTCGGCTGCGGGCAGGATCGATGCCGTGCCGACGCGTCGGATGTGTGCGGCTGCAGGAGGCTGCCGGCAGGGTCCCGAGGACGGGGGGCTGTTGGCGGCGACTCTGGCATTTGTTGGGGTGTGGGCTGGGAGCACCGGTGAGGTCTGTATGTGCTTTCTCCCCCTTGCACCCAACCCGCCTCAGCCCCGACCCGCAATTAGACCCCCGTCATCCCTTTCCCGCCCTGCTGTCCCGCTGCCCATGCCCGTGGCACCTCTCCACCTCCACAGGTGAGGGGTGGGGCCAGCCCCCCCCATCCTCCACGGGCATGGATGAGCGGCTTTCCCGCAGCTCCTTGCAAATCCCCCCCCCTCCCACCTCCTGAGACAAGAGAGAAAAAGAAAAGAAAACCAAGGGGCTCTTCACTGCTGGGAAGGGCTGGCTGAGCTGCCACCTGTGCAGAGATGACCTGATGGGCGGGGAAGGGGCAGGATGGGGCTCAGCTTCTCCCACGGTTTCCAAAGCAGAGCAAAACAAAGCAGCCAGGGGAGATGGCACAGCTGCCTGTCCCCCGTGGGAGGGACGCTTCCAGAAGGGAAGCCATGTGCTGGGTTGTCTCCTGCCTCTGGTGGGTGACACCTCTGCTACAACACGGTGGTGGTAACAGGTACTACCTGGCAGCTTGTGAGGAGTGGGGAAGGCAGCCAGCCATTATGCTGGCTCTATGCTCCAGCCCCACCCTGTGCCTTCCATGGGGGACCCCAAGCCACCCAGAGATGCTCTGCCCACCCCGTCTAAGCAGGGCGTAGGCAAGAGGAGGAGCGCTGCCCCACAGGGTCTTCGTTTTCTTTTCTGCTCCGGTGATTAAGCGCTTGTTTTTTGTCTCCCCCCCACCCCTCTCTCTGCCCCTGTCTATTCTAGGCTGACGTCTGAGGTCACTGGAATGGGCGCACTCTAATTTCCACCCACCATCCTCCACTCCGCACCACCCGACCCTCTCCAGCCACCGGCACTCCACCCAGCCTGTACTGCCTGTACTTTTACCGTCTTCCCTTTGCCTCCACAGATACTCTTTTCTTTACTAACGAATATATATATATATATATATAAAAAACCACACACGCGCATATGCACGCACCGGAACGGGTCTTTACAAGCTCCTTGCTGTGCTCCCGAGGCTGCTCCCAAACTCTTTGGTTATGGTCCTTGTTTTCAGCGTACGGTGTTAATACTTCATCTGCTTTTGGGGGACGGGGGAGGGGGGAGAGGGGTGGGGTTTTTTCTCACTGGAGAGACTTCAGGAGATGACAGGGTCTCTCTAGTGTCAGTCTAGCGTAGCTACTTACACGTTTGAGTTGACATTGGCGGTACTTTCTGTAGCCTATGGACATATGTGATGCCAACCAGAGCTGTGCGTGCTTCAGATGACTTACTTTTCTCACCCTCCTTCCTTTGGTGCTCCCTGTTGCTTGTCCTGGCTCACCTTTGCCACCTCACATCCCTGCCCTCGGGGGTGAGGGCGTAGTTTTCACCCTGTGTTATTTGGGAAGCGGAAGGTGGGGGAGCCAAGGTTCACCCGCAGGCTTCCCTCTTTGAACATGGCATGGTCCAGACAAGCCCTTTTTCGTGCTAAATTAAGGGAATCACACACACACACACACACACATACACAAATGCTCCTTTTTTTTTTTAACTAACGAGCAACTGGAAGTGGGAAGAGCTCAGCTGTATGGGATTCACACCCCCAGGGGCCTTTGAAAGCGCTCTTTTGGCAATTCCCCACGGGCAAAACCTTTGGACGATAGCTCAGGAAGCTCTGTGAGCTGGCTGTGTTTGTCGTTGTTTGTGTTCAATAAATGTCTGTGCAGCTCTGGTACCAATGGGCTCCGACTGTTCTTCTCCTGGGTCGCCCCACCAACTCCAGCCCCATCCTTCCCTCTGCATCCTCCCACACCTTTTTAGCTGCTTGGAGGGAAGGTGGGGGTTGTATACCATTAGTTCTTCATTGCTATTATTATTACCATCACCATCATAATTTTTTTATTTTATTTTGTTTAGAGAAGGTCCCCACGAGTGATGCACTTCCTGAGTGATTCCACGCTTTCCAAAGGGAGAGTATTTGGCTTGCATAATCTTTTGGTTTTCCTTAAGATTGATTTTTAAGTTATGGTACAACAACCAGCATCTCTCACTGCCCCCTTGTCTGGACGGATCTGCCATGTCTTTGCCCCACACCCTTCCCCAAGACCCTCTATGCCCAGTCCTGCCTTCTGTTTCCAGGCTTTTATTCTCTCTCCTACCTCTCAAGCAGGAAAACAAGTGTGTTTTCCACCTGTTAGTTCCTGACTGTCCCTTTTCTCAGACTGCAAATGGGGGGATCATGATGCACCATGTCCCCAGACAGCTGAAGCAGCCGCACTGTTTTGCACTGTACCACATGGGAAATATATTGTTTTTCCAGGTGAGCCCCAAGACTTCGTGGCCTTTCCCTCTCTTCCACCCTCAGTGCCAGCAGGGACCACTGGCAGCTCCCCACCTTTCTCCTGCTGGGATGCTGGATCACTTCTCCTCCTGCCTTCAGCTCTGGCTGCTCAGCACTCACACAGGGACCCCGGGTGATGCCAGCGCATCAGCGGAGCCAAAGATGGGCAGGGGGTTGTGGGCTCCAGCAGGGAGCTGGCAGGGATGAGAGCACAGCTGAGGAGCTCTGGAAGGTGAAGGTGGCTGTCAGCCCCTGCTGCTGGGCATCAGCCATTTGCTCAGCCCTGGTGTCCTAAAACAGATGCATGCTCGGCTCTCTGGAGCATTCGGAGCCTCTGTGGTTACAGGTGCTCCCAGATCCTCCATAAGATGCTTTGCTGCCCGTTCCCAACCCCTTGCTCTGCTCCTCCTGGCACTTTGGGTTCAGCTGTGCCTTTCGGGGTGGTCCAGCAGCAGACATGCTGAAGACCATCCCCTGATTCCCCATCTGGAGAAGTGTAGATGCTTTGGGCAGTGCTGCCGTGGGCTCAGGTGGAGCCAGTAGCCTCCACTGGCATCATCTCCCCCTTGTGTTTGTGCTGATGCTGAGGATGGAGGGTGTCAGGCACCAAATGGTGCCTCCCCCAGGTTGATGACTGCCCAGCACAAGCACAGAACCACCTGCCCAGGTGGTGAGCCAGATGTGGGCAACTGGCACTCCTCATCTTCTGTTCCTCACTCTCCTTTAGACCAAGTATTTTTCCCATTGAAGGAATGAAATATCCATGTGTGAGCCCCAGCATGAAAATAACCACCCACCAGCATGCCAGAGCCACCCTAGTGGCCTGGGTGGGAGGGGTGAGCCATGGCAAAAGCTCCCCATCCCACTGCCACCACCTTCCGTGGCAGAAAAGTGGCCTGGGGTGATGCCCCCTCGGAGGGGGATGGTGCGTGGAGAGGGCCAGCCCACCTTGCCATTGCCAGCTCCTCCATGGGGCTGGAGGACAAGCCAGAGCTCAAGGAGACCTTCCAGGTGATGGAGGCACAGCAGCAGCAGCAGCAGCAGCACGTTGACCAAGGCCGAGAAATCCATCACAAGCCAACAACACGGCTGTGGGGTTTGTACATCTGGGGGCACCAACAACCGCATCCTGATGGCAGTGAAGGTGGAAAAGGCTTTGCCTGGGAATTGGTGGTTTCTGCAGATCGCATCTGCCCTGAATTCCTTTGCTCTGCGTGTGCTGTTCCCCACCTCCACTGAGACAGCGCTGCCCAAAATAGCAAATGCCAGATCGGGTCTGCCAGATGCAGCCGAGCTCAGAGGCTGCTGGAGAGGGGGAGCAGACAGCAGCAACTCCTCTACACCCCTCCCCATGCCAGCAAACCCACGGATAACATCCCCCTGCAGGTGCCATCCCCAATCCAGCCGTGCTGCTGCCACGCATCCATCAGCCAGCCAGACTGCGGAAAAGCCACCCCAGGAATGGGCGGTGAAGGAGAGGAGGTTGGATATAAGCGCTGCTCTGGCATCAGGCTGGTATCGGAGATGTCATGTCAAGGCTTGTGCTGCAGCAAAGACCTGTGCTCAGGGGAGCAACTTCTCCATCATCATCTGGGCTTGGGCGTGCTTTGGAGAAAGAGGGGTTGGAAGCACTGCAGCATCCCCTGGGAGCACGCTGATGACAAGGAGGATAACAACAAAATCACAAGGAGTGGATCAAGCTCGGCTTTGGATTCTTCAGGATGGCTTAAAAGGAGATTTGCTGCTTTTCTTTGGAAGGAGCCTCAGCGTTTTGCTTTTGATTTGCAAGAGGTCTTGGGTTTCCATTTTGGATGAACTGAAAAATGCTCCAGTGATGCATGCACATCCATGCCACTGGGAAAAACTTCTAATATTGTACTGAATATTCCATACAAGGTGAACGTCCCAGTTAATCAACAGAATAGCTTTCATACGTTGCTTTTCTCTCCCAAAACAATGCATTTTATCCAGCCGGAATAATTCAACAGTTCTGGAAGCATCCAGCTCAGTCAGACTCTCTGGGAATGAGTTATTTTGTGGGAAATTGTGACTTTGACTGGAAAGTATTGGTCCAATGCCCCCAGAGTGTGGGGGTCTCCATCAGAGAGGGGCCAGCTGAGGTCTTTCTTCAGCCTCCTTGTCCTCAGCTGAAGGTCTCAACTACCCCCACATATCCTTGTTGTGCCCCCCAAATTGTTTGGAGTATTGTTACGTACTTTTTTTTCTTTTCCCCCTAGACTGTATTTGCAAATCTAGTACATAATAAGGTTGAAAAAAAAAAATAGACCGTTTCCCTTAAGGGAAAGTGACTTTCACCAGGGAGACTCTTTAAATTTCATACTCTCTTTGAGCTGTTTTTCAGGGGTTTGTTATGCATCCATGCTAGTCACTTTTAATTATGCTAATTCCAAGCTTATGGCCCATTAGCAAGGGTAATTTCCCCCCTCCGGTAGGGTAGAGGGAGGTTTCTGAGGGATCGCTGCGTGCCGCGGCAGGGATGAATGCTTAGTCTCATTTTCCCCTTGGCCCCAGGGATGGAAGGCATCTCTCCCAACCCTGCCTGGCCGCAGCCCCCAGCCCCGGGGCCCCCTCGGCTGGTCACTAGGTGTCCCCATTGACCAGCTTTTGTACGCCTCCCGCTCCAGCCGGGATGTGGGAAGCACTGAGACGTCCCCCTGCTTCCAGCTTCTGATCCATCGCGGGTCATACCGGCCGTGCCAAGGGATGAGGTCGGTTTGCCGAGCCACCACCTTACGCTGGCCCGAGGCCGCTCAGCCTGGCAGAGGGACAGGGTTTTGCAGGAGAGGTCCCGGGGGTTTCCATCCCTTGTGGCCTCCGGGGAGGCCAGCGCTCTGTCCCAGGCGGGATGCTCTGTCCCGGCTGGCAGCAGGAGCAGCTGCAGCTGGCGGGATGACTTGCAGGAAGGTCAAGGGCTCAGTGCAATTCCCCTGCTCCCACGTTGGATATCACAGGGAGCTGGGACTCTGCTGAGGGGGGATATTTTTGCTTTCCCTTCGAAGAGAATGCAGCTGCAGATCTTAATCTGCTGTGCTGTGCAGCCAGCCTCAGGCCCCCGTCCAAAGGGTAACGTGGCAGTGACTTTTAGGAAGTACTGAATGTACCAGATGTGCAACTCCTTCCACTCCAGATGTGCAATCTCCCCCCCTCCCCACTCTGCCTCTTTGTCCTGCAAAGAGGAAGATGAGGCTCCAGATCACTCAGAAAGCATCCCACGGACTAAATCCAGCCAAGTGCAAAGCCAGACTGGCCCTGGATTCTCACACTCATGTTTAGGCAGTTTAACCACAGGATGTCTCTTCCCAGAAATGATGCTCGTGCCCGCTCCACACGTGGGGAATAAAACCAGCCAGAAGACAGAGAACAAGATGGAGCAGCCGGGAAGAGGCTTCACATCTGAGCGCCTCGCTGAGCCACAGCCCGTGGCTGATTCAAAACACACGTGGCTATTTCTAGAAGGAACTGCTTTGATCCCAAAAAGGGGAGGCTGTGATGTGCATGAGGACTTGAACATTTGAAGCACGCTTTGGAGCACTGTGTCCCGGTTCCCTGCAGGCACTGTCACTATTTATTCCTAGAGAAAGCCTGTGCCTAAGAGCATTTGAATCTGGATCAAAAAGGGGGATGAGTGACGCTTGGCTCTGGAGCTTCTCCAGGTTTTGATGCATCAGATGAGACTTGGTGGTGGGGGATGCTCCGTGGAAGCAGGGGCACGGTGGAGGAGTGAGATGTGTCGTGGAAGTGCGGGCATGGTGGTGATGGGCCCCCACAGCCAGCTGGAAGCAATGGGGAGAGCAGGATGGAGGGATGGAGCAGCATCACTCTGGAATCCAGGGTGGCATGCATAGCTTGGGATCAAACCACAGCGGATATCCGAGAGGATTTCCCAGTTCAAAGGGGGGCAAGATGTGATGTGCTCACCCGAAAGCACTCAATTAGTGGTGTGGGGTTCTTTTTTTTCTTGGTGGGAAGACATCGATGTAGCAAGGATGTAGCCTGAGGCCTCTGCTGCAGCTGGTGATATGGTTTTCCCAAGGGATGCTGCTAAGCATCCAGCCATGCTCCCAAATGTCTTACAGGAGAGCTGCAGAGGAACTGTCTGTAAAAATCCAGTTATGGATGCATACCCACCACCCAGGGAAACCACCACCTCCGTGTTTAAAGCAAATTTTCAGTTGCGTAGCTGAAATTTATTCCCTCGCCATGAGTAGATCTCCCATCTGCGTATTTTGGGCTGGAAATCACACAGTGATTTCCAGAGGCACAGGATGGTGCAGACGTTGTGCAGAGGTGTGTGCCCTTCCCCACTGTTCCTCCCTCAGCTGCCCATCACCCTCAGCCCTGCAAGGCCCTTGCTCATCACCCCAAATCTTGCTGATGGGGGCCAGCAGCACCAACTCTCTCGGTCACCATCCTCATAGTGATGGGTTTGTAGGGCACAGAGATGGCTCCTCGGAAGCTCCCAAGAAGTCACTCTCAGCATCCAGTGACAGTCCACAAGGCAAACACACAGCACACTGGGCAGCCACCTGGGCTCACGTGGCAGCCCAGCTCATGTTGGGTGTGTTTGGGTGCAAGCCCCCGTGGGAAAAAAAGGGAGGCTTGCTGTGGTGTAGCAGAGCTCAGCGTGGGCACAGCTCCTCCAGCTCGGCTTTTGGGGTGTGGGTGATTTCAGCGTCACGCTGCCGAGTTGCTCCGTGTCTGTGTAGCCTAAGGGGCCGGGAGGCACCGGTGTTGGAGCCTTGGCTGAGCCCTGACCATCTCCCTTGCTTGCCCCCCAGCTCTGCAGACCCTGATCCCCACGGGAGGAACACCTTCACCGCCTGACCGGAGCGCCGCAGCTGACGTGGTGCCAGTGGCTGACGCTTGAGCCCCCTCTGAAGACGCTGCCGGCTTCCCGTGAGCTTCTCCAACTCCTCCGTGGCACCCTTCGGGCCAGCTGCCCAAATCCCCCTGCCCTGTGGCTGCCCAGGCCCTGCTGGGGCAGCAGCGGGGCTGGGGGGGCTCGAGCAGCAGCTCGCAGGGGGACAGCAGCTCGCAGCCAGCGCCCACTCCTGCGAGCCAGCGCTTCCCATCGCCCCTCTCTGCGCTCCATCACCATCCCCCCCCGCGCCCCCGCCGCTTTGCGATGTATTTCGTGGCTGATTTGTGTCATTGCAATAAAGCTTTTGGTTGCTCGAGGTGCTCCCTCCGTGGTGAGCGGGGTGAGGCTGGGGAGCCACGGGGAGGGTGGTGGAAGGGATGCTGGGGGTGCGCCCAATTGGAACAAAAACCTCGTGCCCTCCCAGAATGGTTTAATCACAACCCACACAGACCCATGGAGCAAACCACGGTTTGGAAAATGGGCCTCAGAGCCCTGGCTCCACTCGGCAGCAGGAAATGATCCCACACGGGAACAGAGCTGCCAGGAGGGGAGGGGGGAGCGGGACAACGGGGGGGGAGCACTGCAAAGAGAATCCAGAGCTTTCCCAAAAGGCGGCGACAACCGGGATTCATTATCCATCGGGAGACGTCTTTATAGCCAGCGTGAGTCACTGCTGGGCCCCCGGGTGGGAGCAGCCCACGTCACGGGCCGGCTCCATTTGGGATGGGTCTGGGCTGCCCACCCAGCCCCACACAATGGCAGCTCTCAAACCAGCCCCACCAGCGTGCCACACGCCAGCCCTGGCCCTTGGAGCAGACCTGGTGCTATTTTTGGACACCTTGGGGCATGGTTTTTTTTTTTTCTTTCTCTGGAATGCTCCATTTCTCACTCGGAAAGAGAAGCCAGGGCACTGCCCCAGCTCTGCACGTTGCCCTGATGCAGTGAGGGCCTCCATCTCCAGCTGGTCCAGCCGTGGGTTTTACACACATTCAGGCACTCAGGAGAGGCCAGCAGTGCCTGCCTGGACCTCTGCCCCAGGGGGGAACAAAGACAAAAATGCCCATTTTGACCTTTTTCTCCATTTAGAGTTATCTTTTCCAAGTGTGTACATCATCCCTGCTCCTGTCTGGCCCTATGAAAGTGCTGTGGGCAGGCAGGCAGCCCCACTGGGTTTTACCCCTACTTTCACCTTTGCTCAACCTGCTCCCCAGGGAACATCATTCCCAAATTTCTATGGAAGCTAGAAGTTATCCTCCCCTTGTTTATGCTATCCCTGACAGTCCCTTTTGGCTAAAAACCAGAATTTTCTGGGTTTCTCCTCCCAGAAACTGGCAGTATGCTTTTGCTTGGAGAAAAGCCCCCTGTTCCTGTCCCATTCCCAGAGCAGCAGCGCCACTGGAGACCTTCCCAAAGCAGGGTGTCACCGACTAAGATGGGTGCTCTGGGAAAGACGGCTCAGGGCTCTTTTCCCACCTCCCTGCAAGCCTTCCACAAAGCACCTTGCCTGGCCACACACCCCTTTGCTGAGCTGGGAGACAGGGACAGCCCCGGGGAAAGGACTCAGTGAAGCTGTGGGTGCAAACACTTCCAACATTGTAACCACCACACAGGGATGGAACCCTTGCCCAGGCTGGACAGGTGGGATGCAGAGAGCTGTTAACTACCTGCCTGCACTGACTAATCCTCATTAGCTGAAAGAGAAAGCATCTGTGCCCCAACCGAAAGCATTTAAAGGTGCACATGCCTTACACCCTTGCCTGTTGCCTCCAACCCTTTGCTGGAGGGCATCTGACTGCAGCTCCCTGCGGAGAGGGTGAGTGTTTGGAGATGAAAAACAGCGTGTTTGCTTTTGGCTGTGCCTCTAAAAGATAATGAAGCAGTGAAAGGGAGATGTTTATCTTTTAGGGCTTGCTGGGATTCCCCTGGCTGCAGCTTGTGCTGGGAGCTGCTGCGTGGAGCAGGGCAAGTGGGCTTGAGGACAGCAATCACAGAATCTCAGGATGGTTTGGGTTGGGAGGGACATTAAAGCTCGTCTCATTCCACCCCCTGCCATGGGGGGCACCTTCCACTAGCCCAGGTTGCTCCAAGCCCCGTCCAAGCTTGTTTTGGACACTTGCACGGATGGGGCAGCCACAGCTTCTCTGGGTAATATTTGCTAGTGCCTCACCACTCTCCCAGGGAAGAATTTCTTCCTAGTATCCAATCTAAACTTACTGTCTTTCAGCTTAAAGCCAGTCCCCCTTCTCCATGGCTGAATGATGTGAAGAAACGCTTCACATTTGCTCCTCGCTGTCTGTGAAAGATCTGAGGAAGATGCTTGGCACTGCTTGGAGTGGGCTGGGAAGGCGCCCTTGCCAGGAAGGGTGGCTGGCTCGTTTTAGCCTTCTAGGAACAGGCTGCAGGCTGGCTCTGGCTCTGGCGTGCAGAGCTCAGCTGCGTGCCTTGCTGCATCCCAGCACTGCTCTGGAAGGGCACAGCCACCCCCAGAGCTGCCGCGGCTGCTGGGGTGGTAAATGTGACGAGTGTAAACGTGCACAGAGGAAAAAATGTGAGCAGGAACAGCCTGGGAAGGGGCTAACCGGGACTTCCGGGGGTTTGCCACGTGCAGGCTCCTGGGTTGGGGTGGATCATGCCCAAGGAAAAGCATAGAAAGGGGATCGAGCTTGCCCTGTGCTGCACTGAGCCATGAAGCCAGTCGAAGTACTTCTTCCAGAGGGCAGCCAGCAAGGAAGATGCTTCCCTGTGCTTCCTAAGGCTGTGGGATTTGATGCCCCACTTCCACACGGATGCAGAGACGGGGCTGTAATCCGTGGCAGAGGAAAAGCAGCGCTTTGTCCCGTCCCAGGGTTTTGCAGTTCGGTGATGCAGGCTGGGTTCTGGGAGTGTGGGGCTGGGTGGGACGAGCCAGAAGCACTTCCAGTCCCCCCCCCAGCTGCAGGCAGGGCTGCGTCTGGCAGCTGCCCGGCTGTTCCTCGAGCGCCTGATGCCTCCCTTCCCCAGGGAAGATGTGCCCAGCCTGGCAAGCACGCTCTGCTCCCTGGGAATCGCCCAAGCGACGCCTTTCATTGCAGAGAGACGGAACATTTTCCCTGCTCAACTGCCAGAGGGCTTAGAGCTCTGGGGTTTCCACCCATTTTTCCTGGATGTGCTCCACGAGAGAGGGGTCCTCTGTCCCCTGTTCCGACAGCGGTGTCCCCAGGGCTGGGGGTGGCACCTCCCGGGGTGCTGCTTTATCTCTAAGAGCAGTGCTAATGATCTTTCCAGTTCAGACCAGTTTTATCCCCCAACCACGATGCTCCCAGCTCCCAAAAACCCCATGCTTTGGGCTCTGTTTTCTGAGTGTAAAATGGGGGGGGGAGCCCTAGAAGTGAGCTTTGAAGCCTCGGGATGAGAGTGGGACTCTTTTCACCAGGACACTCTGGGGAGGCCCTTCCTGGTGTCCCGAATGTGTGACGTCCTGGTATCCCATGGTCCCCCCTGTGAGTCCAGGATCCCTGCAAGCCCTGGGGTGGCCCGGAAAAGGGATCCCGAAAGCGTTATCTCCTCTCCTCCGGCTCCCACGCCGCATCCGCAACCTCCCCTTCTCATTCGACCCTCTCATCTTTCCTAAGAAGCTGAGCCAAGCTTTCCCACAGACCCAGACAGCTATTAGGGAAATATTGTTACCAGATGGTTTGGTTTTTTCCATAAGAAGAGGCCAGCGTGAGGTAATGGGGGAAAAAAAATTAACCCGCCATGCGCCAGCCTGGGCGTGGGGAGGTGGATTTGGTGGTGGAGCTGTGCCATGTCCTGGCTGTGCCAGCATGGAAGTGGTCAGAAGGGGGAGGGACGCTTGCACCCCGTGTGTGCTGGAGGGATGGCAGCTGGAAACCACCCACCGGACTGGGGGTGACCCCTTGAGGTGGCTTGGGAAGGAAAGAGTGTATCCCCCAACAGTGCTGGGAGGGAGGGAGGGGTCCCCCCAGGCCAGCTCGGGCTGGTGGGAGCAAAGCCCAGCTGGCAAACAGCACAACAGCGGAGTTCTGCCAGGTCAGCAGCTCGGAGAAGCGCCGTGTCCTAGCTGTGCCGCCCCTTGTGGGGTCAAAGGAGAGGGTGCCAGGGGACCACTTAGAGTAGGGATGTCAAAGGGTTTGGAAGATGGGCTGCCTCTTCCCCCGGGTGTTTTTTGGAGGCGGGTGGTCGAGTGCAAGACCCTCCCCTAGCGCTGCCAAGGCCCACTCTGTGCCCATGGTGGGATGCTCAGATGGCAGCACCTGCTTGTGCTGGGAGAGGGTGATGCTTTCCTGCTCAGAGGGGTTTCTCTGCTGCCTCCTCCTGCAGAGAACTGCTGTGGGAAGCTAAATTGCCATGTGCAGAAGCACCACAAGCCACATTCCTTCCAGTGTGGGGTCTGTGGTTCGTGCAGCGCTGGCCTCGCACCACGGCTGCTCCTGGCGGAGGTCTGAGCATGGAAGAGGGGAGGGTGAGCCTTGGGGGGTCCTACAGCCAGTCTGGGGGAGGCACAGCCCTTGGTAGCCAGACACACAGAAACCTCTCCCGGGTAACTTCCATCCTTCCAAACGTTTCCACCCTTGGGCACTCACGTCCCCAGGGGTGGGGGGAAGGTGGCAAAGATGACGCAGGGCAGTTGTCAGGAGACCAGCGTGGTGACAACCAGGGAAATTTCGGTGCTCCTTAGAATTGTGGTATTTCCCAGCACTGTGTGAGAGGACAAAGTAGTCCCAGCTGCAGAAGATGGAGCTGGAAACCTGCCACTGGATGCTGCTTCCCAAAGCACCCTTTGGTTGTGAGCACGCTGGCAGGTTCAATCCTGGCTTTTCCCCAGGAATTCATTTTGACTCACTTCCATGTTTGCTGTGGAAGCACAGTTTTCCATTTCCAAGTAGGCTTGAGCAAAGGGAAGGAAAGGTTTCACGAAAGAGTTAACATCAGAAAAGCAGAGCAAACTCATTCTCTTCTCAGTCTCTGGGAGGAGAAAAAGCAAAAGTTCTGTCCCGAGTGTACGTTCTTTTTCCTGCACCCAGTTTGGTCTGGAATTGGACTAAAAGTTTATTGCAGTGCTGTGGGCTGGGACTTGGGAAGGAGAACTCCCATTCCCTGGGGCACATTTGGCACCATGGAGGAGCTCCCCTGGCCCATCTGCATGGCACTTGGGAGGGAGGCTGATAGATGGAGGAGGTCCCCTGCTCCTGGGATAGGGCAGAGGCACAGGGCTCGGTTTCCCTGGCCTCCTCTGAAGAGGGAGGGAAAGGAAACGTTCTTCACAGCCA